ATCACCATCAGGGCATGATTGTATACAGAAGATGCCATTGGAGTCTGGACTGTATCTAATCAACAACAACAGTGTACTGAAACCCTCAGGGAACTGTTGACATGTTGCTGTGGGTGTGGAAAAGAATGCTGTAAGAGGGTTTGTTTTTCTTCAGACTTAGAGGATGTCCATGCCCCATAGAGAAGGAGAGTCAGTTCTTTGTAGTCTCTAGCAGTAGGAAGGCATGGCTAGAATACAGCAGAAGGAAGCCATGTTCTTTGTTCTCAGGTCAGAGCCTAAATCTCTGGGGAGCCATGGGCTTGATTTCCAGGTCAGATCCTGAATCTCTGGGAGCCATTGTGAGGCTTCTCAATTTCACTCTTTTGGCACCCTGAACCATCAGCACAATAAACAGAATGATTCACACCGTGCTAGTTAAATGTTGGCCCAGCAAAGGGTATGGACCGTTAATAGTGGAGTTCTTGGAACTGGAGAGATGGTTCAGCAGTTAAGAGCACTGGCTCCTTTTGCAGAGGACCCAGATTAGGTTCCCAGCACCCACCATCTGTAACTCCAGTTCTAAGGAATCTGATGCCCTCTTCTGGCTTTCTGGGCATTGTATGCATGTGGTGCATTTACCTACACACAAGTAAAACACTCATCATAAAATAAAAACAAAATAAGAATGGAGCTTTTTCCATAGCCCCATGCCCTAGAGGATGGAAAGTTGCAAACCTTGGGGAAATTGGCAAAGAAAATTGTAGAAGGAAAGGTCACATGGCTTTCTAGCAGGCAGAAAATATCTTATACCTCCTTGTTTGCTACCAGCCCTGTAGGGGCATTCTTTATTTGTTGTTACTAGCACTAGACAAAACTAGAAAAATGAAAGTAATATCTATTCTTTATATTCATTTTTAGCAGTTCAAAGTTGTAAAGTTGTTTCTATGTATCTAGATGATAATATTAACAGCATAGCTGCTCTATGAATTAAATTATTCTTCAGTGACCTCTCTTGAAGGCAAGTATCACTGCAAAAGGGGAAAAATTAAATTAACTGGGCAATGTTTTCATTCCTAATGCCCTGTAACGAAGCAAATTGGCAATGCACTTTCACAATGTTTATTCCCTCCTCCATTTTATTTGTAAAGTTTTGTGCTGTTGTACAGCACTGAGTAGTGTAATGGATGTGATGAGATATGTTGATCCTACTCAACAGTATGGGAGGCCCTGTCCTTGCTCCCAAGAATGCTACCAGGAGACACACCTTGTCTGTCAACCCCCTTTGACGTTTGCTACCTCCTCCGGGAAGACCATACTTCTTCCTTACTAATAAAAACCAATGATTGGTTGTTGTAGGTGTATTGAAGGCCCAGTTTTCTGTCTCCAGACCCTATCCCAGAAAATTCTAATTAATACTTCCTGCAAGGCTATCTGAGGTATCACTGAATCTGCCCCCCAGATCAACTTTCCCCTTGCTTTCCCACCTCGCCTTCCACAAGTGTCCCTCCCAAGAGCACTCTTGGAGATTTTATCTCGATCCTCTTTGATGCACAGAGACAAAAAGCAGGAAATTTAGTCATGCCAAAGAAAATGGTTTGAAGATAGTTGGCATGTTTTCTTTTGTTGTGAAGGAAAACAGGACATAAATTATGAATGACAAATTCAAAGTCTTGACTACAGCTATATGTATGATTGAAAATCTTTCTTGGTAGCAGTACAAATAAAAACTATGTCATACACCATTTTTCTTTCCTCTCTTCTTGCTTTATCCTTCTATATCAATTCTTTTCCATCCCCTGATTACATCTGTATCCATGTGCAAGTTCAGGGTAAGCGGAGAAGCACCACAACGCTCTTGTGGCCTAACCATACTTCCCCAAGGAAGGCACACCTTCCTCACCTTTATACACAGATTTTTACCAGTGAAACCATGCTCCCGGGAAATATAATGGAAGCATGAAGCTCTTATTCAGACACACATTGTCACACAGGAGAAAATGGCTCCAAGAGATTTGCTTATTTTCCCAATTAGTCTTTGCCTATTTGTGAGGATTCTTTTTCTTTCTTTCTTTTCAGGGAAAAGTGACTAGAGTAAAGTAAACTTGGCTAAAAGGAGGTAGAAAAAAATAGAACAGGCAAAATTTCAGTCAGACTAAAGGACCCTGGATGCTATCTGGGAAGTTCGGGTTTTCTGGCAGACCTTCTTTTCAAGGGATGTGAGATGGTATAGAAGTGGCCACTACCCATACTGTGGGTACCTCAAAAAGTACCTATTGTCTGAGTTAGTAGAAAACTCTCAGCAGTCAGATTACATGGCTACTCTTCATTCTTGGTCTGACATGACCTTTGGGTGGACCACAACTTTTATGTTTATATGATCCATAGCATGGGCCAACCCTATCTTTTAGAATGCTCTCTTGCCAGGGCTTTAGAATCTGCTTGTGAACCAGCTTCCTACTGTCCCTTCAGTGCTTTCTTAACTCCACTTTCTTCTCTTCTGAAGATGAAGATTCAGTTCTTTCTTTTTCTCATTTTTCTCATTTTACTAATGGGAAGTGATGCATTTCTCAACAAGGGTAGATGCAGAGTGGATGAAGAGGATGCAAAATGTGAAGACTGCTGGGGGTTGGGAATGTGTTCAATTCGCTCAGGTTAATCACAGAACAAAGCAGTTCAGAGCAGCCCCTCCTGCTAGCCAGCCACCCCTCTCTCCATAAAAGCAAGAAGCCCCTTGTCAGGATCCTATAGCACTTCCTAGAGGCCTCTGCTTGCCTTTGCCCCACGCTGTGAGCAGGTGAAAGTGTCTGTGTATTTACTTCTTTGTTTCTCTCACTGTACCATAAAAACCTTTAGAATAGGTCTTGGACACCTACTTGAATCAGGAAATTGCTACTGAATAAAAGCAAAAGGATAAATGCTTAAGTGCAGACATTGTGATAGCAAAAGTCATCTATGTTTATAAAAAGAGTTTCTCCAAGATCTCCAAATGCCAAACAATATTTTCAAGGTCCCCATAACTGCTGACTACAGAGAAAGTGAAACTACCTCATCAACTTCTTTGATACTCTTTTTTACTCATGGCCATTGAGGTATTGAGTGGCAAGTGTCCTGCTTATGTGAGTTCTGAATCAGGCAAAGCCTGAGAAACAGCAGTATTATTTTTTCTGGATTTTGATATCTAACATATCGTGTGGCAGAATGTAACTACTTAGTAAATCATAGATTAATAAAGGGACTGGTTGTTCTGAGCACAGAGCTTCAGCTTCAGTCAGGTGAGATGGTGGGGTGGGGGGAGGTTCCCCTTTATCTCCTCTGGTGGCCTCATCTTTTCTCCTGTCTACATCCTACCAGTGGGCTGCCCTGTGCAGTGCTCCTTCCCCATCAATAATCAACAACACTCATGGAACCCCCAACTGCTGAAGCACATTTGTACTTACATACTGTATGTTTTCACAAATACCCATGTGTTACAAATGCCATATGAATCCAGTTAACCTATAAGTTCCCTGGATGCCAGAGAACATTTAAGCAGGAGGTCCCAGGCCAGCAGAACCACAAGGGTGGCCCAAGTCAGACTGTCCTTCAAACCTCTCAGAAAACGGGGTCCCACAGATAGAAGGCAAGAGCACAGCTCTGCGTCTGCTATGCCCATAATATCCAGAAGAGGGCGCCAATCAACCACTAGTGAGTCAGGCTCATCCGATGGCAGGCGCAGCGATTAAGCACACTTAACATCTGTTTCTCTCTCTCTCTCTCTCTCTCTCTCTCTCTCTCTCTCTCTCTCTCTCTCTCATTCCTTTCACATAAAAGAGTCTCAAAAATATGCTAGCTTAAATTCAATTTAAAAATACTCGAACACTGTATCACATTGCGTGTAATATAATTAATGAGAATCAATCTTCTTCTGGACTTAGAATAATGTACATTAGGGATCTAAAATCTTGGATCTGGAATATCAGGCTCCCTAGCATGAAAACTGTTCAAGTTCTGGGAGTAGAGGCTGGGGATGAAGAGCTGTCTACCACCTCATCCTTGTGCCTTTTGCTTGTTTGTTTAATCACTGCTTTGGTTTGGTCAGGACCATAAGACAGTCTTTTCAGCCTAACAATGTATTTGATGAGTAGTGTAATTGATGCATGCCACCAATCGATTTTTGCTAAATGGACAGAGTTTCTACATCCAAAGTTTCCATTCTATGTAGTATGTTTGCACTGCAGCCTGTTTGTTGAAGTGCTGGCTGTGTAGATAATGACAGAACACTTCAAGAAATGCATTTAAATACCACCCCTCCCATGAAGAACACAGCTCATGTGTTTCTAAGGAAAGGGAAGTTGGATTTCCTAAAACTGAGATGATAGGGGGAAAAAACCATAATTCTGTTCTGCCAAGCTCCTTATAATATGATTAATCTTTCTCTATAATCTGGCTTCTCTCTGTTCAATTGCCTAAAACATAGCTCTTCAAATTGTTGCAAAGACCCCAAAGCGCGATGCAGTTGCAGAGGCATAGACTTTTTTGTCCCCTCTGATCACGTGTCAGCAGTAACTGAAGGCTGACAGACTCTTCAGATGAGCATTTTCTAGCAGGGCTTATTAAATTTCACTTCCAGCCCCAAACCAGGAAGTTCTGCTTAAGATGAACCCAAGACAAAAGCAATCCAGCTTCAGAAACATAACCAAAAAACCCCAGAAGAGGCTTGGATGGGAGCCTGCAGACTCCTGCTCAGGAAACATGGGGAAACTTCCACAATTACCCAAACAAAAATGATCAAAAGGCACGCAGAAGCACATGCAGACACGCACACCACTTTGTTTTCCGGATCTGCTTCTTTATCTACAAGCCAGGCTTCGGCTAGATTTGAGTTAGCGAACTCTCTAGGCTAAACCAGGACAGACTGCAAAAAAGGTCTAATTCTGCAGATTCTTCTGCTGGAAGGTCTAGGCGTAGACCGGCCACGCCCAGGTCCAGCTCTTCAGTTGCACAACCGCTAGATACCTCTGGGCAAATAGAACCGGGAACTCTGCAACCTCCGGCTCCCCCTCTTTGTGACCCAGTAGGAACTCTGTAGTTCTGGGGTCCGCCAGGGGAGGGTCTCCGGGTGACCAGCGGAGCGGACAGTGTTAAGTTTCAGGCCTCTGACAACTTCGGCGGGGCAGCAGGCTGCAGCGGGCAGGAAGGGGAGGGCCCAGCGGGGCCAGGGGGAGCCTGGCGCGGGCCAGGGGCTGGGTCGGAAAAGCTGCCTCACCCTGGTCCTGCCCCTCCCGTCCCAGCTCTGTGCTCCGCCTGAGGTGCAGTCTCGCCGCGCCTTCCCCGAGGCTGCGCCCGCAGCGGTCGCCATGTCCCAGCCGGGCCAGAAGCCCGCCGCCTCCCCCAGGCCCCGGCGCGCAACCCGTCACAGCCAGGAGGTGAGTGGCGTCCTGTCCTGGCCGCAGGGCCGGGCGACCAAGGGACCCGGGTTCGAGGGCGGCGGGCCGCCTTCCTTAGGCGTGGCCGCCCTGGGCCCGAGTGGACCCCTTCCGTGCCGGGGAAAGGGACCCGGGCTCAGCGCCGGTGGGCTAGCTGTGGCAGGAGCCGCCCGCGATGGGGCCGAGTGCCTCGGTCGAGGGGCTCGTGGAGCAAATGGGCTGGTACGGCGGGGAGGGTGGGAGCGAAGGGAGAATAGAGTCCGAGGGAAAGGGCTCGTTTCGCTGGGCAGCGGGGTCCAGTCTTCCGCGTGAAGTCCCAGCGCAGGGCGTGGCAGCCCGAGGGACCAGCTCCACTACCCTAACCAGCGGTGGCCGATCGGGCGGGGCGGAGCCTCGCGGCTGGGGGCGGGGCTTGGCGCCCCACCCCTGTCCCCTCCCACCTGGCAGCTGTGAAGTGCGAGCGGGAGCCAGGACCCAGCCAGGCGGAAACTCAGCCTGGGGCCACCAGCACCGCACCCCACGCTCTCACCGGATCCCCAGACGCGCGGCTGGCAGCAAGTCGTTCACGGCCATGGCATTCGCAAGCTGGTGGTACAAGACGGTAAATGGAAGGCTGGGCAAGGCGGGGAAGGGAGTGCATTTACTTTGCCCCTCTGGCAGAAAGATGTACTGTCCCAAGATTGGAGGGGAAAGGGTGGCTACGGGGTGCGATCGCTGGCAGACCTTCAGGTTAGGGTAGACAGAAGCTGGAGGCTCGCCCTTCTGTGGTATGCGGGCGTGCACCGGGAGGGAGAGTCGGGGCGACCTCTTTCACCTACCTGCTCTGCTCGCCCGCACACGCACAAGTTGAATGGAAAGCAATCCTTGCTGGAGCAGATCGCCCCTTGGAGGTGTCTTAGACTCAGACGCTAGCCACTGGGGCCCAGATCTAGAATTTTACACTACTAAGTAAAGCTCAAAACTTATAGAGAAGGCTGTTGAACCTGGTTTCGAACGCAAAAGAGAAGAGGGGCTGCAAAAGAATAAGTCAACCCAGGGAAGAAACTGATCAATCTGGACGGATGGAATGAGGCAGACGAGGGAAGAGCGAGGAGAGAGCTGGGGGGTTGGGGGGGGCGGAGAATGGGAATCTTCCTCCTCTATATTTGCAGAAGAAACATGTTGCACCGAACGGCTGTCTTACCATTCGGTGTGATACCCAGTCAAGCTGGCACTTGTAATGTTTTCAAACTAGGAAGCATGATTTAACATAAAATTGCTTAAAAAACAAAAATAAATGCTTTGTTGACAGAGAGGAAAATATTTATATTGCATTGATTTATGGTAAGAGTTGAAAAAAAATTAGGACCACTTCTCCCTCTGCATGTGATATTGGGAGAAGTAAAGAAGTGTTCAGACAGTCTTTGCAAAGAAACCCTTGTGTTGGAATTAGAAATCGTTACTCAGTAGGCAATTAACATTCAGTGAGCATCTGCTTTGTGTCAGGCAGTGTACTAGCCTCAAGCACACCAGGGAGAGCAGCTCAGAGCTCTCAACTCAGATGGCAAGGAGTCAGTCTTTTTAAATTTGTTTCTGTATCTGTAAAACAGCGATGGTATACATTACATAAGGAGCAATGAGATATACCTAGTTTATCAATCAACCTGCCATATACATATACGTTCAACAACAAAATACACACACGTATAAAAATGCAGCTTTCTGTGTAGCTTTGGGGGCTACAGAACCTGCCCACAATCCTCCCTCCTAACGCTGACAAAGCCAACTTGTAACAGATAAACAGATATACATGCATATATTGTATCTATTCTATGTATGTAAAAATATGTACACATATCTACATATATGAAATGCACATATACAATGCATATATAAATATTTTGTTGATTTGCAACTATAAGTAAAGATACACAGTCAGTCCTCCTTGCCTACATATTCAGCCACTGATCAAAAGTATTTTTAAAAAATTGTTTTTTTGTTGAACATGTATCAACTTTTATCATTATTCTCCAAACAATATATTAAAAACCTGTTTATGTGGACTTAACATTGTGTATCATAAGCAATGTAGAGATTATTTAAAGTACATGGTAGAGTGTGCATAGATAAGGTGCAAATATCATGCCGTTTACATAAAGGACTTGAACATCTGCAGGATTTCATTTCCAAAAGGTTCCCAAGACCAGCCCCCCAAAGATACCAATGGGTAACTGTACACATATATGCATCTCAGAATACTTATGGAAAATCCTGTAATTAAAATATCCTTAGTGGCATCCTATAAATATTAAAAAATTGTAAATGATCTTACTTTAGGCAGAATAAAATTAGAGTAATATATGGGCAGAAGAAATGGCTCACTGGTTAACAGCACTGACTGTTCTTGCAGAAGACCCAGGGCTAACAACTGTCCATAACCAGTTCAGGGGTTGGGGATCCATTTGGCCTCATTAGGCACTGTATGACACAGTTGCACTTATATGCACGCAAAACACTCATGCACATAAAATAAAGATAAATAAAATTAGAGTAATATAAAGAAGTGGTCATTTAAGAGCTTACCACCTCTAAAGCTAGCCAATGAAACATAATTGTGTATTTTCCCATTGAATACCATCAACGTCTGAAGAATTTTATGATTATAGTAAAAAAAAAAAATCCCACTTCACTAAATGTTAAAAAGCTGCCTGTGAAGACTGTCTGGTGAGCTTTGTAATTATCAGAACTTAAGAAGAGGACATTTGGCTTACATCAGTAACCAGATGCCTGTGTCATAGCTGATTTTATTATGTTATGTTAATTAATGGTGTTTCTTAGCTTAATTAGACTCATGGCCCCAGTGACAGTATGATCAAGGAGCCCAGTCATTTAGAAGGCTCCATCATTGCTGCCAGACCTGGAGGAGTGTTGTAAGCCTTTCATGGCAAAACAGACCACTTGGCTACAGTGAATTTTAGAAGAAGGCAAAATTATAGGGTGTACACAAAAAGGAATAGAAGAGGTCAGATGTGACTCTCATTTTTTTGGCTGACAATCCCTGAATAGATGGGTTTCCGCTACATACAAGCCTTCTTGAACTGAGCAACATAGGATGATATTGTTCTTTAGTCAGTTTTGAAGCTCCACAGAAAGTTAATTATATTATGCAAGTGGTTTTTAAGAATGATGCTGCTCTCTAGGGGTAGAGAAAGAGTGGTCATTTGGGAGTCCAGGGTAGACAAGCAGGTACTTAGTCCTGAGGCGGCTATTTCAACACTTGCACGACATCTCTAAGCAGACTATCATTTTCTACCCTTTGGAGTATTTTTAAGATGGGAATGACAGTAAAGTTTTCTTTTTATGAAAACTTTCAATGAAAACTTGCCAAGAAAGCTTTATGGCTACCACAAGGTGAAAAAAAAAAAATCCCATCAAGTTTTTTTCAGTTAAGTTCCAAACACTGTTCCATTCAGTAAAGAACGGGGACTATAAGCCACCTCCCCAGATGGAGAGCCAGTTAGCTCAGGAGGAAAAAGAGTGTGCAGCTTGAATGTCTTGAAGAGGTATGGAATTCGTTTTAACTACAAAAAATTCATCGAATCCAGCAGTGAAATGGTAAAGGTCAAAGAGCTCACAGTTATTTATTGACCACCTACTGTGTGTCAGATGATTCAATGCAGAATACTGCACATATGAAACCACAAAAATAGTACATGTCTGGCCTTCACTTGCATTTCTCATATGCACATCCTGCTGCATTGGGAACAAAGCAACTATGTAAATCATCATGACATCCCCTTAAATTTAGAGAAACCTCAAAGAAAAGAATCCTTACTACATGTACATCCCAGAAGCTCTGCTGGCAAATGGGTATCTGAAGAGTAGACAACAGGAATGCGTGCCTTTGCAGTGTCATCTCTGCTTGCCAAACAGAATCTGAAAATGTGAAGAAAGTATGTGCTTGGTGTTCAGTCAAGCAGAATTACACAAGTAATAGCTATGTGGTTAGCCATTAATATCTATCTTCTTTTATAGAGGAATTTAAGTTATTTCTATAACTTTATAATTTAATAACATGTTGAGGGGAGCAGAGAGCTAGCATACATTGAAAACTGGGCCTTGCATTTTCTTTTACATTTA